GGTACTCAGTTGTAGATTGTTGTTGATTTAGAAATATTATGATACACATTTGCCTGGGATTGCTGAATGATAGTAAAATTGAATTATGTCCTTAGTGCTTGTTAGGTGTAAGAGAATTCTTGGATTTATTGGGGTATATAACTATATCTTTGATCTTCTACATTGAAGGATCAGATTTATACTGCTTATATATATATATATATATATATATATATATATATATATATATATATATATATATATATATATATATATATATATATATATATATATATATATATATGTATATATATGTATATATATGTATATATATATATATATATATATATATATATATATATATATATATATATATATATATATATATATATATATATATATATATATATATATATATATGTATATATATATATATATATATATATATATATATATATATATATATATATATATATATATATATATATATATATATATATATATATATAATTTATTTATTTATTTGTATTATTATTATTATTATTTTTTTTTTTTTAAGAAAAAAGGCAGCATAATCAAGGAGGAGAATTGTGTTACTGATGCAGTAAAAATGGATGTTATATATATGTATGTATATATGCATGTATATATGCTTTTATATATATTTGTATATATATATGTATATATATGTATGTATATAGATAGATAAAGATATAGATAGATATATATAGGTATATATAGATATATAGATATGAATGTTAATATGAATATATATTTATATTTATATTTATATTTATATCTATATCTATATCTATATCTATATCTATATCTATATCTATATCTATATATATATCTATATATATACATTTATATATATATATATATATATATATATATATATATATATATTTATATTTATATCTATATATATATATATATCTATATTTATATTTATATTTATATCTATATATATATCTATATATATCTGTATCTGCCTATATATATCTATATATATCTTTATCTATCTGTCTATCTATCTATCTATATATATCTATATATAAATATATCATACCACATTCAATATAAGAGTCTTAGACATTTGTTGACTCTAAGGAGCATAACCCCTAGGGCATTCTCTGTGGAGCATAGAACTTCTTGGGGTGGAGCTTATAACTCCCTCCTCCCTCCTCCATTCATGGAGTCTTTGAGATGCTTGCCAGGCTTCTCTCGCCCTCGCCTTTATTTTATTCATCCTCGGCATCTTCTCAACCAGCTTCCCCCTGAAAAACATGCAGGAAAGCGTAGACAAGGCAGCAGAGGTGCACTTATGTTTTTATGTGAATGAGCTGTGACTCAGGACAGACCTGCTGTCATCTATTGGCTTTTGACAACACTACTGGAGCAAAAGTAGAGTACCATTATCTTCAAAAATGCAAAAAAACACAATTGGGTGAAAAATTTAAAGGGCAACATTATGTAAAAAAAAAAAAAAACAGTATTTGAACTTAGTAAATATTGTCTCATGCCCAAGAAATTTGATGTGAATGTTGCCGAAGTGTTCACCAACTTTTGTACCATTTTTCATCATTTAGAAAAATTAATAGAAATTTTGACCAGAAAATTTTACCTAGGTCCTTAAATTATTCTTATAAGAAATTTTACAGATGAAGATCATTCCATATGGAAAATTATAAGAAAATCTTGGAGGCCTTTTTGAATTACTTTCAAATATTAATTTAGCTATTCCCTACATTTTTACAGTAGTTTTCTATTAATGCAAATAAGGACTGTTTGTAAATTATCTGTATGAGAGGTGGACAACCATAATGCAATTTTTCTGATGTGGAAGATTATTCTACATTGGAAATGATAAAGACAAGTGTGGGGGTGCTATATTGCAATCATTTATATTAAATGTGTTATTTTATCTTCATAATATAAGTAAGGTTTATTGCAATATTTATTTCATTGTATAATTATGTGCAGAAGTGTGAATCATAGAACAATCCTAGACCTTTTGTTAATACCACCCCTTACCTTTAAGTCAGTTAAATAAAACATTTTAATAGTTTATAGTAATACAACTTCTTTTATTAACCCAGTGTCAGCAGGTTTATGTACTGTCCTCTATAGCTTTCAGTGAGTTTTGTTACATACAGATGGCTCCAGGTGTGCTCAGCCAGTAAGGAGTCTATTAAGTTGTCCCTAGTGACTGATCCTGATCCCTTAACCCATTGCCGCCGGGGATGGCATGTACGTACATGCCATGCCCACTGTGAGTCGATTTGTTCGATTGTTTTTACACATAGATGGCTACACCTGTACTAAGTATCCAATAAGCCAATTACGAGTACTGCCTGTCTCGCCCGTTCACCCTTTTCATCGATTTACGAAAATATTTAATGTTATCCTAATTTGCTGTTAAAAATAACACCATCTATATTTATAGCACTAGTAAGAATACGTTTTTTACCGCCAATTTAAGGAAAGGTGAAATCAGGACTAGCAGAGCCATCTATGGACAGAGATATTTCACAAAATATAAAAAATGAGTACTGCATTTCCCCCATTTTTTGTTCATTTTCCCCGGCGGCAATGGGTTAATAGAAATAAAGGAAAAGGGTAAACAGATGAGATAGGGAAGATTAACAGCTGACTCCTTGGTGACTAAGCACTTGTAGAGCAATCTGTGTGTAAAGACAATAGATAAACTTTTATTACAGTGGGCATGTCTTTGTAGTCTTGCCACTTGCTGACATTGGCTTAATGAGAAAGGACAAAGATAGTGATAATTTCACAAATACATGTATACCTGACATTACTGCCAGAGTGCAGTTAAAGGTGAGGTGTGGATTGTATAGATGTACAGCATTAGTCTCTAGTGAAAATTGAAGTGGTCTTTATTAATATTAAATCTCTCTAAATATTGCATAAACTGCTTAGATACATGTCAGCCTTTTCAAGAACAGTAATGTTATCATAGTTTCAAGAAATTAGAGGAAATTACCATGAATGTAAAGGAAACAAACTTAAAAAGGAAATTAAACTTTGTATATCTGTAAACCGTAAATGTGTTGTTATTGCTAATGGTAGAAATATTAAAAGATTGCAGCCCAAACTTGAATTTATATGAATTTGAGTATTTAGGACTTAGTAGAAGACATTCTTTATCACTCTACCTTTAAATTATTGAAGTAATCCACCCCACCCCCCCCATTCGTAGGAGGAATCCTGACCAATAAGGCTACTTTTGAGGAGGGTCCCCGAGAAAAAACCCATGTCCGCCATCCCTCTGCTGACCTCCTCTCCTCCTATGACTTGTCTCGGCTTAAAAGCAAACTGGGTTTAGGTATGCTTTGCTATTTTTTTGCAGTGTTATATCCCAACATTTAGTTTCCATATATGTGTGGACGTGTGAAAGGTTGGCTTTTTTTTTTTTTTTTTTTTTTTTTTTTTTTTTTGGCTGTGTTAGCTTGGTTTGAAATCTAGTGAATGGGTCTCTCCTTTTTTTTCTTCTCAGTAGTGAAGTACAGGTGAATTAGTTTTTTTTGCTCTTATTTGAAGGTTTATGGCTTCCTTTGAGATGTACTAAGTAATCTCATTAAGTGTATTTGGTGATTCATGGAAGTATAAATAAGCTCAACATATGATTGACATATAAAATACAACTCACATTGCATGATTTTGATAAACTGTTGAAGCAAATTAGTGGTTCATTAGAAATACCAGCCATTTCATCATTTATTACCTCTAAATGCCAAACTTTTCAATCTGACAGATCAAGAATGTGGTAAAGCAAGAAGTGAAGGGGAATGCTCGAGAAGCAACTCTGCCTCATCTCTACTTAGCAATGGATCGTCTGCTGGGATTGATCTAGTAGGAGAAGGGCAGAGGGAAAGCAGCCAAGAACCAAGCTCATCTAGTGCATTAGAGGTTCCTGATACCTCTGTTGGGGGTGATGGTAGTGAAGCTGATGGTAGTTTAGATAAGGAAGAAGAGAGTGCCTTGGACAGTAAGCTCAACACTAGGGCTGTGAAAGTGGGTGGTCTTCTGGATACAGACCTTTCATCATTAGCACCTAGCTTAGCTGCTAGTTTAGATCCACAACAATTTAAAATTGATCCGCCTGTGCCTGGAAAGCCAAGCAAAATCACCAAAGAAAGTTTTGAGAATCCGTCTGGGCCCTTGAAGATTCCGGATGATCCAACTGATCCATTTAGTGGATTAGACCCTCTTTGGTCCCACAAGAAATCGTAAATTTGGCTAATTTATCGACCTGTACTGTTTACCTATGCAATTTGGTAAATCTTCTGCAAGTCTGTGTTATTTCAAAATTGTTAAATGGTCTTCATTGTCTTGCAGGTTGTTCATTCCTTTTAATAATTATTGGCATTTATGTAAGTCTTCATATCCATTAATAAGCCATTGCATGATGTATTTAGTCCACATTGTTAGCATTTCAAATTAGCCTAGGGTGCATATCAAAGCATATATTTTTTTTTCCTAACTAGAACTTTCGGTTTTTACTTATTTTCTCTGAAGAAAAAAGGAAAGGAAGGTAAAAGAGAAATGACCTATGTTCAGTTTGCATATCAGGTTCTTTATTTTATATATTTTTCCAAGCTCATGAACAAGAGATTTGAAACAGAGTGAGAGAATGAGTGTAGAACCAAGATGCACAGTGTGCACCTTTATGAAACCTTATAAATGTCTACTTGACTATTTATCTATATTTTACATGTTTAAATATATGTTTTAAATATATTTAGGTAAGCATACTATGTAAATGTTAAAATAAATATTATTAGTACCGAGAATTATTTAGAATAATTGTTTATGTTGATGTAATCCACAGGCATTGCATTCTGGTGCTCAGACCAACTGTGTGTTTGTGGGTGCATGTGTGCCTGCAAGCATGGTGTTGTAGTTTGTCCTTTATAGTATTTGATTAAATAATTATATTATATTATGTTATTGTAGTATCATGTAACATTGTAGAAATGGAACAATGTACACACTATAAAGGTCACAAAACTTATAATTGGATCTCATAGAGAATGCTATCTTTGAAAGGAAAGAATTTGTATGTTTGTTAATTACATGATTTTTAATTTTGTTATTATCTATTAAGCAGTGTAATAAGTAATAGTCGTTTTTGGGTATGAGAGACGGATGTGCAATTATTGGAGGAGGAATATAATCTGAATTGATTTGTAAAATGAAAGTAGATTTATTTTTAAAAATCTGCTTCCAGTATATAGCTTTGCTTGTGCATTATTGTTGAGTGAATTAAAAAAATGAACCTAAGTGTGTACTATAACTTATCATTAGATGTACTGATATTGTATTGGATCACAGTCAATACCTAATGCTATTCCACCATATAAATGCTGGCAATTAGATTTGATTAATGACACTAGAGTATGAAATAAGACATCCCGGTGTACTTTTAGGCAAGAATGAAATGCCCTAGTTTTAGCTTAAAAAAGAAGTTGAAATTAGTTTAAGAAGTTATTTGTGATAATACTTATATATCTGTGACTTCCCATAGTTACAGTGTTTTGAAACAATATAAATTGAAAAACAAATTTTCTTTTTTACCCTTCTGTTTTTCTTATAAAGAAAAAGTGAATATTGGATCTTCTCCATTTAACTTCCTCTCATGGAACCATCCTGGTGTGGGTGGGTGATGGCATATAGTTGGTTCTCAAGACTATTTTATCAAGGATGTCATTGAAAAATGCCTTGAGGAAACTGTATGGGGGCAAGTCCTCATCCAGGTTTACATTTGAGTGTGTTGGACAGAGCCATGCCTCCTCTGTCACGTATATCAGTGGGGTATGTCTATATGCATGGCAACGCGCCAGAGTGCGAGGAGCAGGATGTTCGGCTTGATGTTGTGAACTCCTGTGCTCAATGTTTGGCCATTGCCAGAAATCACCAGTTTATCACACTCAGAGAATTCTGTTTACCCAGGGGTGATGGGTTAATACTCACCTGACATCACCGGAAAGTAAGTCAGTCAGTCAGTCAGTCAGTCAGTCAGTCAGTCAGTCAGTGTCTCTCTTTCTCCCTCTCCCTCACACACACACACACACACACACACACACACACACACACACACACACACACACACACACACACACACACACACACACACACACACACACACACACACCTACACACACACACCTACACACACACACCTACACCTACACACCTACACACCTACACACCTACACACCTACACACCTACACACCTACACACCTACACACACACACACCTACACACACACACACACACACACACACACACACACACACACACACACACACACACACACACACACACACACACACACACACACAGAGAGGTGAAGCCTGAGTGTGAGGGTGGAGGAAGGAGAAAAGGAGAAAAAGAGAAAAAGAGAGGGAGAGGGGGGGGGGAGAAGAAAATTACAACAAATTTTTAAAAATATGTATGATTTGTGGATTTTGAAATAGTTTCTTCAGAATCCATCACATGTAAATGATACCACCTGTGAACATAGCCCAGACCACAATGGAATCCAGTGTTGTCACTTGTGGCTTAGGCCCAGCTCCACCATGGGAATAAACTAGATTCCACCCGTAGACAAAAAGGTTAAGTATTTCAGTTAACCATGACTGTAGGAGAATATAAAACATGCAAAGTATTTGGCAATGTAAAAGTGGGTTAATCTTAAATACATGCTCTAGATTTTGAAAGTAGGGAGAAAGACATTATAATACTGTATGATAAAGTATGATCTCGAATATACAAGTTCTCCATTTCCTTTTCCATTTAATGTGAAACCTACTAGATAAAAAAGTAAGAAGCTGTAAGGGTAATAAAATAAATATTTTAATTTTCATTACTAATATTAACAGTCCTAATTTACACTATAGCTTACAGTAAAAAAAAGAAAAAAATAATCTTACAGCCTTAGCAAATGTGTAAAAAACATAGTATTTTTTTGTAACATATAAGACAGGTTCACAATTCACTTTTCTGCTTCAGGACTTGAAGTTTCAGTTAAAGTATTTCCATCCACAGAGAAACAAATTGGTTGACACTGTAGATTACGGAGGTTCACTGCAACACACATTCCTGAGTCACTGAATCGTGGAATACTCACTAGCGTAACTTTGTGACCATTTACATCTGAAAAAAGCAAAAAAAAAACAAATAAATAAAAGAGTGGAAAAACTGAGGTTTAAGAGCAAACTGGATATCCATATTAAATTGAATTCTTGAAATGTCCTCATACAATCAAATTATACTGACAAAGATGATAAATGGTAAAGAATATGCCCAAACCTCCTTGTTATTAACAAACATATTACACTACATACATAGCCTATGGAAGAAGAAGAAGAAGAAGAAGAAGAAAAGGCCAAACTGAAACACAGACTGGAATGTATATCTGTAAATGTTCGAAAGAGGGCTGTAACGAAACAACACATACCTTTAACTGTTGTTCCAAATGAATCCTGATTCCCAGCAAAAATCACATCTGGACAGGTATCAATAATGAAGGGTTCCTGTCCTTCATAAGGGTAAGAAACTGCAAACAAGAATAATGTTGAAATACTGTTAATCAAAACAAAAAGTCAAGTAAACGTGCAATATTTTGTTAGTAAAAATTATGCAAATGTGTATAAATATATCATTTCCCTTCTAATTTTCCTCAACTATAAGGACTGCATTCACCATTCACCCTGCCATTTAATTGACGCAAAGCCCTACTATACATAACACTACAGATAATCATGTGCAATTTACCAAGAGTATCGGGAGCAGTCGGCGCTAGATGGCCCCAGTCACAGAGGTTTCCTAGGGCAACAAGGGGATCCTCAATTGTGGAACATCGGCCAATATCCTTCACATTTTGGCCAGACATCCCAATGAATACCCTTCCTCCAATAATACATTCATAAGGGTTTGAAACACTTTGCATGGAAGAATATACTGCTGCCTGAAAACAATGACATATTCATTAACACAGAAAATAGTGTACATAAAGAAGACTGAAAAATATATTTAGGTACATGGCAATGGTGTGTATATTTTATTACAAAAACAAGAAATCTAAAGATGAATGAAACAATTGTGAAGAAACACTGAATTCTACTTGTAGATACTACTTGCAATGTTTCTTTATTTACTACAGTAAGTAACTACCCTATCATCTCCAACAGGATTTTCATACAACTGTGCTGGACTTTAATGTTTGACAAATAAGTAATGGTTCTATTTTAAAAATTACTCATATTGTAATTTTCCCCTTTGATCTCTTGTATGCAAGTACACGTAATATCTACTGTAGTTTTTTGTGTGAATTTTGTAGTACACAGATGGCTCCAAAAGTGCTCAGCCACCCAGGACTCAATTTTTAGACCCTAGTGACTTCACATGATTTCCTCAATCCTTAAATTTTCATGATTTTTTTTTTCAACAATATTAACCCAATCGCTCCATGTGGCAAGAATAGATGCCATACCCACTTTGATACACGTTTATTTATTGTATTTACACATAGGTGGCTCCCCAAGTTTTTAATCACCAAATATCCAGTTTATCGAAACTACCTATTTCACCTGTTTACCCTTTTCCTTCACTTTAGGAAAGTTTTTTTTTTTTTTGTATCATTTCATTGTCTAAAATATTCTAATGACAATTTAATAATCATAACATCAATAACAATAATAACAGTATCGATAGCAATGGTATTAATTTTCCCGCCAATCCAATGAATGGGAAAATCAGGGTCGGTAACTAGTGCCTACTGATAGACTCCTTGCCGGCTGAGCACATGTGGAGCCATCTGTATGTAACAAAATTCACCAAAAACTACAGGGGACCGAACATAATTCCGGGGCAAATGGGTTAATAGTATCAATATTGCAATAGTTATTTTTACGACATTCCAATTATTATATTATCATAAATTTTGGCTTGTGGAGCCATTTATGTGTAGACACAATTAATAAACTAAAATCACAGTGGACATGGTATGTATGTCACACCATACCAGCACAAAGGAAAGGAAAGGAAAGGAAAGAGAGAGAGAAAGAAAGAAAGAAAGAAAGAAAGAAAGAAAGAAAGAAAGAAAGAAAGAAAAAAAAAAGGAAGAAAGAAAAAACCTAAACTGATATGATGAAAAAAATCTAATGTTAATATGATGTTACAAGCCCATGGGAATGCATTGATACAGTTAGTACACACTGTAATGAAGGAAAACTGTTTGCCTCCCCCCTCCCCCTTCTCTTTTAAGTTATCACTTCTCACCTCTCTTTAGATTAAATTGTAATAAGGCAAAAAATTAAGTCTTTCAGTAACATTCTTTTTCCATAAATATACCATAAAGCTCAATATAAAATAAAGAACTCTGACCTTTGGGAACATGCAACGATGGAGAGGCTGTTGGGGCATCACATGGTTGGCCGGGTCAAACTCCCCTGGCATCAAGTCAACAGGACACACACTCTGGAATCACAATATCAATCTCAGAATATCAAAAAAAGGAAGCCATTTCAACCAGTGTCTGAAATTTGTAATTACTTTAGGATGAGGTGCTACAAACAACAATATATCAATTTCGTATCAAAAAAGGATGTTCAGTAAAAGTTTAACATTAAAGACCGCTAAGAGAACAAGGAAATTTATATATATGCACATGAGCCATGCAGTGTACATAATAAAAACTTAATATATCCAAAATATGAAGGCATATTTGGCATCACAACGAATAATCACGAGCAGGCATCAAGACATACCGCAATCTGTGTTAGTATGTCATCGAGTTCCTTCACCAACTTCACTTTGTCTGGCTTCTCCTTCTCTCCCTTTGCACAACTGATAGAGTTTCCTGTTAATAAACACTGATTAATGACAGAAGTTTTCATTATTCTCATTATATATATATATCATTTACAAAAAATTAAGAACAACTTGATTTCCATATGGAAATTTACAATTAATAGAAGATAACTGAAATTATAAGGATTTTGATGATAAGTATGTAGTATCATTTACAATCACAATATCTACAACTCTTAGCTAATAGTGCAATAACTTACTGATCGCATATATGTAATTATTTGAAGACAAATTAAGATATGTGGTGGAAGATAAAAACAAAATAACAGAAGGACTCATTTGGAGATATCAAATAAAACCACAGGAGAAACTAGATGGATAGATTCTACTCTAGTCTATCAGTTTGCTAAATTATTTCTTCATAAACATAATACCCTAAAGTAGGAAAAAAGAAAGCATAATGAAAGAAAAAAGAAAGAAAGAAGAAAAAAATAACTTATTATTTTCTTAGGCAGCTTACACTTCACCCTTTAACCCCTATAGTCTGGATGACATTATCCATCACGTCACAAAAAAATTCGGCATGATAGGTGGGTGATGTGAACATGTGGTCAGGAGAAATTCTGACTGTAGGTCGGATTTGCTGTCGTGAGCATTTTGGCTAAAGGCTGGGGTGATGGGAAAGACTCAGCACAAGTTCATAAACCTCTTGGAGGGTGATCAGACTCATTTGGCGATTAGGAAGGGGCTATTGAAATATTTCCAACCTATGCCACCATGTGTCATGGTGGCACAAGTTGTATTACAGAATACTGAATATTGTGAAAGAAAGAAAGAAAGAAAAATAAAAAAGGAAGAGAGAAGAAAAGAAAAGAAAAAGTTATTGTTATTACCACTGAACTGATTTATGGACTATTTAGAGTGAGTGTTTGTTTGCGCCTGTCCTACAAGCCGCACACCCAGTGTCCTCTCATGTAAGTCTAATGCCCATATTTTGGGCATATGGCAGCAGTGAAGCATCCTGATCCAATAGGTTAAAGCCTTTGCATCCACTAGCTTATTGATTTCATTAAGAAAGGAAAGGGAAGAAGAAGAAGAAGAAGAAGAAACTACCAACACTTTGCATAAACAATTTAAAATACATACCAGCAATAACAACCCTAGTGATGCTGGCCACTGCTGCTTGCTCCTCTGAGTGACCCAAATGTCCAGAGAGATAATCGATCAGTAGTTCCAGGGACAAGAGCGAGTCCACTGATGAGCTTAACTCCAGTCCTGATATGAGCACTACATATCTGAAATCAGAAATATAGTCTGATTACTAAGAAAATATGGCTTGTAACCCCAACAGTCTGATAGTACTTGACCAAGTGTCTTTGACATTTGACTTTGACATTCATTGTGCTCCACTCAATAACTGTCATAACATACCCCCCCCGCATGAGCCATACATTTTCTGGTATGTATACTTGAGCCTTACAAACATCACAGATACAAACTGGTCTTGGTGAATGAAGATAATCTGATACTTTTTTGTGGCTAGGCAGCAAAGCTAGATCAAGGAATTCCATTTTTCACGGGTTAAACCTTTACATCACAGTAGAATGTGTCCCATCATCCCATGAATGACTATTAATTTGAGGAAATTAGGCTGAAAAATAGTACTGAAGCCTTAGTGTTTCCTACATATATCAAAGCCACTAACCAGGACTCTATCAGAGCATGTTTAACATGAAAACCTATGTGCGAGTTGCCTGTACAAATCATGTGTCAGCATGTTTACCTGGGCCTACAGATGGTACGCTTTTTTGTTTTGGGTTGGAACTAGATAAATTTGGTAAGACTAATAATTTGGATTACTACTGCAAAATTTTTTAAGGTCAACACCAATCTGTTTCTTCAAAACCTTGAACTATCTTCAGTTCACAACTGCTAAGTCCTCCCTCTTATCTAAAATACAAAACAAACCTAACCTATCATCCTCAACCACGTCGTGCTTCACAGGCTCTGGGAGTCCAGCAAAACAGATATCCTCCACAGCGAATTTGCCACCAGAGCCCTCTTGCCCGAGAACTGCACAGATGACCCCTGAAAAGATGCCAAACATCAGCACATTTGTCATTACACACACTACACAGACACACACATATCTCATATCTCTCTTCCCTCTTTCCTCTTCCCTTCATTATTCTATGGTAGCAATAAGCTGGGCAGAAACATAAGGAACTGCAGTTTTCAAGGTAGTTAATGACTGAAATACCTGTGTTTAAGAAACTTTAGCTACATTCATTCACTTGTGATAAAAAAAAGCATACTGGTTATATCCTATACACATTTTCTGTACTAATCCTGGCTCAACCTTGCATTAAAATCAATGTTACCTCTTCTGAGATCTCCTTAAGAATGGATGGCTTCAGAGTCTGCCGTTTGAAAAGTGTTCCGACAATGATACATTTCCCTGTTTCATCATCCAGTTCATGAAGTCGTTTCAGGGTAGTATCTGAACCTGTAATAATGTAATATTTATGATACTATAAAGTCTATGGAAGATTTCTACATGATGATTTGTGTTTGTGTGTGTGTGTGTGTGTGTGTGTGTGTGTGTGTGTGTGTGTGTGTGTGTGTGTGTGTGTGTGTGTGTGTGTGTCTATATATATATATATATATATATATATATATA